AAAAAAAAAAAAGAAAAAGAAAATGCCTTCTATATGGTATAGAAATGTCTGAAAAGTTTAGATCGTGCTCTGGTAACCTAAGTAAAAATATGCAAACAAATAATTATAAAAATAACTACATATCACTTAAAAATTGTAATTAATTGTCTTATACCTGATTATCTGATGTCATGTATAACCTAACCAATAAGATATCAAATATTCAAATTATCCCAGGACAAGGCTAAGCATACATAGTAGTTTCCTAAAATGATGAACTCCACATGAGAGGTAGGGGAGACTCATAAGGTATAATACATGTGAGATATATGGTATATTTTATTATTGTTCCCACTTATCAACTCTTCCCCCTCTAGGAGTATAATTCACCCAAACTCTTGCCTTCCCCTAGGTATAGATACTTTCCAACCCCATTGTCAGCCTGATCCATATGACTTGCTTTTGCTAATTAATGTGACATATGCCCTCTGGGCAGAAGTTTTAAATGTGCTTACATGGTTTGGTTGAGCTTCCTTCTGTCCTCTGCCAGAAAAATAGCATATCCCGTATAGAGGCTGCTCCTTCCCAGTAGATTCTAGAATGAAAAGACATGTGGAGTAAAGCAGAGCTAATTTACAAACGTATAAGCAAGAAATTAATGTTTACTGTCATACGTTGCTATGATTTTGGAGCTGCTTGTTCAAGGTAACAAGTTAGTCTTTTTCAATCATCCAGCACTCTCTGTCAATTTACTATCTCTCTCAATAAATATAAATCAATGAAGACGGTTACTCGCAGGCTTAAGATGGTTATGCCTCCTGATTTGTACCCACGGATTTACCTGTTGGACTCTTTTTCCAGAGGTTACCCTGGCTATTAAACCATTTAAGACTTGATTCTGCTATTGGACCATCTGACCTCAAATGTGGTGACATGTGAGGTTTTTGGACTTTCTATTTAAATCCGTCTTTATTTATAGACTATTCTGGAAGAGTAATACCATAAGTGACACTAAAATGTACTAAACCTCTGCTCCTGCCAGGTTTTAAACCCAGAATTCTACTTGGTCCTGTGTTTTCTCTTAATAAAAGTACAGGAGGATCACTCAGACTGTACATGAGACCACCTACCTAATCAAAGTTTGAGGCAGATCCCAAAGGCATTATACATCAAACTAAGGAGCTCTGATATGCAAACAGAAATTAGTAAAGGTTTCTAAGGGAGGGAATGAGTAATCAGTTTTGTTTTTTAGATGGATAAAACTCTAGTAGCAAAATGGACAAAAAGTGGTGTAGGAAGATCATTGTGGCAGGCAAATAAGAAGCTTTTGCAAATTCTGTAGTTCAGGCAAGCAGAAGCTTCTGAAAACATGGACTAAGACAACAGTAGTGGAGATAGAACTATAAAGTAGATGGAATTGTTAATTAACCATTGGGTAGTATGTATGAAGTAAACAGAGTGAGAGAAGAAAGAGAAAATAATTCCTATCATTTAGGTAGAGAAAATACAAAAAAAAGGAAAGAAAAGGTGGCTGAAAAGTGACTAGAACTGCTGTACAACACACATGATGTGATTGGATGCAATCCTCAATGAGATACTATTGTTTTTAAAAATTGAAAATGACATATTATATTTTCTATACACATAAAGGAATTTACCTAATTTGACTTATTCATCATTGGCACTGTGAAAAATAATTTCATCCCTATAAATTTCAATGTGGCACTTTGACTGAATACAATTGTTATGACCAACATTTTATGACTGAGTGGTTAAACATTAATAAGTCAGTCCAGTAATGAAGCCAGCAGAGGTTAGTGGCATTTGAAAAAGAATGTTCTTATTTCTCTTTAGTGGCCCACAGGCCTGGAAGAAACTAGTGTTGAAGTTAGGTGAAGGTCAAACCCTTTGGATTCAACATTTGTGATATGAACACTGGTAAAGATCAAGATCTTAGGGATGAGAAAACAGTGAGTCAGAATGTGGAGGTTTTTGTACTAATAATCAGTCAGCAAAGTTTAACATCCTGATTCTCTGCTTAAAGATGATTCATTAATTATACAGAGCAACTCTGAATACAGTTTTCACACTTTATTCTAATCCAGTCTCCCCCTAAGTGAGGAATGAACACAAAATGTAGAGTTAAAACTCCTTTCTTACAAAAAGAAAAGAACAAAAAATTAAAATAGGAAGGAGGGAGAAAGGAAGGAAGGGAGGGATGGAGGAAGGGAGGGAAAAAAAAAGAAATGAAAAGAAAAAAAACTACTTATACAAGTGTGTTGTAAATATGCCAGACCCAGTGTTTAATCTTATTTTGAAGGTGGCCTTTTGATAATTTTATTAGTTGAAATTTTCATTTTTTTCCCCCAAAATCAAAATGTAAATCCTAAGTTTAAATAGGTAGACAATGACAGAATTAAGTTTTACACAAAATAAGGATGATAATCAGAATTGTATTATATGCATTGTTTCCAATTAACTCTTTGTTGATATATTGATGCATGACCTGAAGAAAAGAAATAAAATTTACCATAGAAACAGCTGCCTTGAATTTATGAAACCCCTGCCACTTTGGGGGTTTTCTCACAGCAGTAGCCTTGGTGTAGCACAGTCATTTTCTGGTTATGATTGACTAGAAAGGTGTCACTTTTACCAAACTAGGATGGGGAATACAAAAAGTAATACTGTATTACTAGATATTCTGCCTTCTTATGCAAAAGTAAATTAATTATTATGAATGTGTATTCAGAAATGAATAGATTTTTATAAATTCATACAATGGTCTTCTTAGAAGATACAAATATAACTAAATTTCCCTTTTCTTATTTCTCCCTAATTTCTTATTTCTCCCTTATTTCTTATTTCATGAAATCATCCTAAAGAGAAAAGTAATTCTCAGCTATTGTTTACAAGAATGACAGAAAAATCAAATGTGCATGATATTCTACATTCTTTCACCTAATAGGGTAGGACCAAGCAATGGTGTTTTCTGTCAGTCAGATCCCTAGGCAGCACTTTGGAAAGGCATGCTGCCAGAGGTCAGGGTTGCAAACCAGGGAGGAGTGAAACTACAAGTCCTACAGCTATAGGCTGGATTCAAAGCATTTGGCTCAGTAGGGTCAATCTATTGTGTGCAATATAGGAAATATAACACTGAGGATGGCCTCAACATCCCAGCCCATAATATGGCCAATAATGTTGGGACTACAAAAAGAAAAGGGTAGATGCAAAAATTGGCCTGAGTGCTTATAGTTAACAATACAATGTTGTATACCTCAAAATATGTTAAGAGGGTAGATCTTACATTAAATGTGACTACCATTAAAATAAAACAAAACAAAATAAATGGACACAAAGAAACTTTTGGAGGTGATGGATTTTTTTATTACCTTGATTACGGTGATAGTATCACAGAGAAATACATACGTCCAAACTCATCAAATTGTATACATGAAGCATGTGCAGGTTTTTTTTTGTATAACAATGACACCTCAGTGAAGCTGAAAAAAAGAATTGGCCTAAATTCTAAATCCAGTTCTGAGGGTCTAAGAAAGAGGGCAGGAGTGAAATGCTCATCTCCAGTTGACATGCTCTTCAGTTTCAAATACAAAAGAAGTAGAGCCAATTTTTATTGTGCAGAAGAGGAATGAAAACATCTCTCCAAGACAGTGTGCTCCCCAATCCCAAATCCACATGATACATCATGCTGATGATTCTGCTATGGATATAAAAACAAAAGCTTCAGCATCGAAGAGAAAAAATAGAATCTTCCCTTTGGCCCTACACTAAGTCATTCCTTCAGCTTATAGCTGGATCTTGGCATTTTTCTTCTAGCAATGGCACCAGTTGTACTTCCCCAATACCAAACAAAGCCATAAACTGAGCACGTGCCACAATATCTCAAATCTGCCTACACTTAGACTTGGTCTCTAAAGGCTGGCCAAAGAATCACAAGAAAAGATGAGGCACAACAATAATAACTTGACTTAATAAAGTTTTAAAGAACTGAGTAAAAGAAAAAAGTTGAGGGAAAAAAATACCTGTGGCATCCCTTATATAGAACACCAACACAAAAGTAAATTTTGAAAACAGCTGCTATTCTTTAGGAAGGAATAAAAAACAGAAAAATGGCTGGGAAACAAAAGTTGAACTGATTAAATCTTCTTAAAGAACAATGCAAGTCATTATTGAAAATAGTTAAGTAGTGGTTCAGATAATCAGTTCATAAAACAGGAAATATAATTGAGAAACATGAAATGTGGAAGAGATAATTAATTTCTGCAATAAAAACAGATAAAATGATAGACATAGAAGATAATGGAAGAATATGACCATTTTTAAAATGACTAATAAAATTACATCTGGGCAATCAGTGTGAATTAACATCACCAATTGAGATACCCAGAAATTGTATACCTCATGAAACAAGTATACAATACCAGCTATGGAGACTTCCTGCCAAAATCCCAAATTTGAATCTGATTGAGCCTCATGATCTAATTTGCAATATGCAGGGTACAGAGGAACATATAGCATAAGGATGTAGTTAGAGAAATCCAGTGTCTTCAATAGATAAATTAGAGAGGAAAAAAAAAAAAGACAAAAAGAGTGTATTACAAAAGACTTGAGAGGCTTAAAGACCAAATCTAAACCTAAACTGAATTGAAAGCTGGTACAAAATCAATGTCAGAATATAAAGAAAGTCTAGCCTCAGAATGCTTAAAGAAAAACAGTAATACACAAAATGTCATGTCAAACTAAATTGTCGTTCACGTATGACTGCAGTGAAGAGGTCAGGAATTGCAAAGAGGGATGAGCAGGGAGGGACGCTTCCTTCTCTCCTGTCAGTCTGAGAGCTATTTGTCTCACACTCCTGGCCTCTTTCCATTTCCTAGATCACACACAAGTAGTTGCACCTGAAGCAAAGGTTTAATGGGACGGTGCGGGGGTGGGGTGGGGGGGACACAGAGGAGAAACTGGACGAGTTTTTATGACAGTGGGGTGAGAACAATATCAGTGGTTTTAAGTTGACAAATGAGTTTCATGTACTAATGAGATTCTAATTTACATTGTGAGCTCCATCCCTAGGCAGACAGTGCTAGATCAACTAACTCAAATCCGATTTACATTCACACTAGGAAAGAAAACGTGGGGAAAATAATGTAAAATTAATGTATTTTTTGCATAAGCTTCAAGAATTATCTTCCACTACATGATGACACATTTGTTCCAGATTGGTTAATTACATATGAAGAAGAAAACTTCCTTCATAAGTGTATTTCTTATGCCTAAGCAATTCCATAAGAGGCAATGGAAACAGTCACAGTGCCGGAGACCTGGAAATGTCTGCTTGTGATGAGATACCATCTTTGTGACTGGAAAGTACTCAATTCAATTCTGCAATGCGGAAATATGGGACCAAAGGAAAACTGGGAAACCAGATGCTCTGAATATACTGTGCTGAAAAGAAAGAACTTTGTAAACATAACTCACAATGGGGATACCATGAAGTCAAATTCATAAACATATGGAAGGATCTAATGATAGCTCAAATGGAACTTTCTGAGAGAGGAGAAATTATGCATAGGTGGAATA